TATATAGTTTAAATAAAGCTCATCTGTGCTATTTAGTTATGGCCTCCATTGTATACACTTTTAAAGTCTTGGTGATGACTTTTCCTAGCACATAGTAAGAGCTTAATAAATATTTCTTAAATGAGTAAGTTAAAACATCCATGCCCTCTTTCCCATTTCCTTATAACCATGGTCAGAGTTGAGCATGAAAGTGCTGTTTGTAGCCATGGAACAGAATTTAGGTATTTCCTCATAATATTCTTTAGGCTCGGGCTGGGTGCGGTGGCTCATGCCTGTAATCCCAGCACTTTGGGAGGCCGAGGGGGGTGGATCATGAGGTTAGGAGTTCGAGACTAGCCTGGCCAATATAGTGAAACCCCGTCTCTATTAAAAATACAAAAATTAGCCAAGTGTGGTGGCAGGCACCTGTAGTCCCAGCTACTTGGTAGGCTGAGGCAGGAGAATTGCTTGAACCTGGGAGGTGGAGGTTGCGGTGAGCTGAGATCGCGCCATTGCACTCCAACCTGGGCAACAAGACGAGACCCCATGACAAAAAAAAAAAAAAAAAAAAAAGGAATATATATATATATATATTCTTCAGGCTCACATAGACCGAAATAGGCACAACACACACACAAACATGTTTAATCTCATCTGCCCATTCTCTTTGTTTCTTTAGAACACTTGTGTGCAACACTATCACTGCATTTTTTATATTATGCCATCACTATTATTATTATATTTTTATTATTATTTTTTGAGATGGAGTTTCACCCATTGCCCAGGCTGGAATGCAATGGCACAATCTCAGCTCACTACAACCTCCACCTCCTGCGTTCAAATGATTCTTCTGCCTCAGTTTCCTGCGTAGCTGGGATTACAGGCATGCACCACCACGCCTGGCTAATTTTGTATTTTTAGTAGAGATGGAATTTCTCCATGTTGGTCAGGCTGGTCTTGAACTCCTGACTTCAGGTGATCCGCTCACCTTGGCATCTCAAAGTGCTGGGGTTACAGGCGTGAGTCACTGCACCCCGCCACTGTTATTTTATTATCTATCACCCTTGACTCTGAGCACTTTGGTATAGGTACAGTGTTACTCATTTTTGTTCTCTAAAATTATCAAGCACAGCGTCTGTCTCATAGTAAGTGCTCCAACCCAATGAGTTAAAGGACTTCCAGGGTCAATCCTCATGAATCTACTCAACTACACAGTCAACACCAAAAAAACTTTCTTTTTTCTTTTTTGAGATGCATTCTCATGCTCTTGCCCAGGCTGGAGTGCAGTGGCGCCATCTCGGCTCACTACAACCTCTGCCTCCTGGGTTCAAGCAATTCTCATGCCTCAGCCTCCCAAGTAGCTGGGATTACAGGTGTCCGCCACCACACCTGGCTAATTTTTGTATTTTTAGTAGAGACGGGGTTTCACTGTGTTGGCCAGGCTGGTCTCGAACTCCTGGCCTCATGTGCTCTGCCTGCCTCAGCCATCCAAAGTGCTGGGATTACAGGCGTGAGTGACTGTGCCCAGACTAGAAAGTTCTTTGTTAGCCTGATAGTTCTAAGTAAAAATCATTTCAACCAATCCACCTGAATTCTGTCTGTTGAAACATAAAACTAACAGAGAAAGAAGGAGCACATTAGTAATAACCTTGCATGGACAGTTTCTGCCTTCAAGAATTTACCAAGATATAATTAATGCTATATTAACTTTATCTATTCATTGCTCTGGCAGATAAAAAAGAAAGGGAAATGGGCAGGTAGGTGGGGGATGGGCCTTCTGTTCAATGAAAAGCTGGCAAACAGGCTTACTTCTTCTGACTGTTCCCGGGTCTGTGCAGGTGAAGATCTTCTTCCCACTGTAAGTCGATGGCAGGGATAAGAGAGCCCTGATTCAGCAAGACACATCTGCAAAAAGTAGAATCCATCATTTGTAAACAAAATATGGCCATGTTTCACAAAAAGATTTTACCTTTCAGGTATTTTCTATTATTGCTGAAGCTAGATTAGAAAGTTAACTCTAGTATCCTGGGTATTGCATTACCAGGAAGGCTTTGAAAATTTGAATTTTTTCCACACATGAGATGTTATGGTAGCCAAGGGTAATTTTCATTAGATGATAGATTGAGGCTCCAGGAAATTGTAATGAGCCCCAAATAAGGCAAAGTATACATACTTGCCCCCAATCCCTCACTGCCTCAATGTGCGTCTGCTACTTTTCTGATTAGCAGAATAATACTTCAGTTTCCTAACTCTGAGGGCAGTAAGGATAGAAATATAAAATTGTAGGTGACATACAGAATTTAAAATTTCCCTAAGATACATATACCAAAAATATATAAAAATCTAAGTTTAGGTTTTACCCTAAAGGAAGCTGCCTTATATTTGAGTAGTTATAAAAGTTCTCCTATTACAGGGTGCTTCATTTTCAATACTTCATTTTCAATACACTGTTTAAACAGATTAGCCTTAAATAACCTGAGTCAATGATGCTTCAGGTACTCAGAGAGTTTACTTGTCAAAACTGGTTAATAAAGAAGACAATGATTAAGACATTGTCTTATCCTAGAGGTATAATCTCACAATTGCAAGTATTAAAAGTTCTTATAAACCTGCCTTTAAAAGATTCTTTGAAAAATGTCTTGGGAAGATGATGAATATACATATATAGGACAAATGAAACCAAACCAAAACAAAAAATTAAGCAAATGAAAAAATTACAACTGTCCTTAATGACACCTAGATAGGGATAGTACTTGATTATTACTTTCTCCACAGTGTAGGGATAATAAGGTTGAGTTTACGGGTAAAGCAATGAGAAAATGCCTAGCACACAGTAGTGGCTCAACAAACATTACTTTTTACTACTCTGTGAAGAATACTTGTGGCTTGAAATAAAATGTCCAGTGAGAAGGATGGACTCTAGAAAACATGACTTTAGCAGAAATACCTTCCTCACCTACACTGTTCCATGAGAGAAGCCCACTGTCATCTTGTATTTTGGGGTCTTTCTGAGTTAGCCTGTTCCTTAATTAACACAAGAATAGTTATCTTATTCAATTCAATTATTTAGTCTTTACAGTGTCAACCAAAGAGAAAAAAACAGTGATCCTAGTGGTGATGATGATGCTTATATACAAAAAATGCCTATAGAATTTGAATAAATATCATGAAATGTGAGGGTAGATACAAAAGCAGTATTTGTAAATTAACATTATATAATATTAACATTATTTTAAGTATATGTGTCCAATTAAATAATTTGATAATTATACATCAACACAAAAAGTTTATGCATTTAAATTATCCAAAGAAAACCTTTTTTTTCACAAAAATCATAATTATTTTACAGTATTTATATTTTTAAGACCACATCTCAAGGAAAAAGTAGCTGTTGTAGGCAAGAATTTAATTGTTCTTATCAGCTGTTAATGATTGAAATATAAGGACAGTAAATCATTTTTTGACAAGACATGAAGAAAAACGACCAAAATTAAATAAATTTGCCCTGTTAAAAAGTAATCCATGGACAGGCAGGCACTTAACAAATTCTTGTTGATTGCTAAAGGAACTTTTTCTATTTAATAACAGGAGACAGCTAAGTGTAGAATGGACTTTTAAACTCAGAGCGTCCTGAGTTCAAATTCACTTCTACTATTCACTCAAATCAATATTTTACATCTCAAAACTAAGTTTCCTGGCTGGGCGTGGTGACTCATGCCTGTAATTCCAGCACTTTGCAAGGCCAAGTCAGGAGGATAGCTTGAGCTCCTCAGGAGTTCAAGACCAGCTTGGGCAACATAGTGAGATCTTGTCTCTAACAACATAAACAAAAGATTAGCTGGGTACAGGGGTGCACACCTGTAGTCCCTGCTACTTGGGTTGCTGAGGCAGGAGGATCACTTGAGCCCAGGTAGTCAAGGCTGCAGTGAGCCATGATCACACCACTGTACTCCAGCCAGGGTCACAGAGTGAGACCCTGTCTCCAAAAACAGAAAAAACAATTAGCTGAGCAAGGTGGCACACACTCATAGTCCAGCTACTAGGGAGGCTGAGATGGGAGGATTGCCTGAGCCTAGGAGATCAAGGCTGCAGGGAGCTGGGATCATGCCACTGCATTCTAGCCTAGGTGACAGAGCAAGAACCTGTCTTTTTTTAAAAAAAAAAAAAAAAAAAAAAAAGGCTAA